TAGAACAATACGAAATCTGAATTCTGAACCTATACACAAACTGGACTACTGAAAATACTATAAGCAAAATGGAAAAATTCCTGTAAACAAAGCCTTACCAGGGACCTATCACAAATCCACAATCAAAATAAGACTGAATCAATAATCACAGATTAGTCAACAGAGAAAGCCCAGGATCAGATGGTCACACCTTCAAGAATGGGTTATCCTTCTAAAACTCCTCCCAAAAATGTGAGGAGGGAACTCCCCAGGCTTATTTTACAGAGGCAGCATTATCCAGAAAAGACACTGTAAGAGGACTACAGAGACTTTGCATGTGGAAGGTCTGGCCTCGATCCCCAGGGCCTCCAGACACCACCAGGAGCAACCCCCCAACACAGCACCAGGAGGATCTCCTGTGTACCAAACAAATCTATAGCTCAGAGTTCCTGCTGAAAAGAGACATGAAAGATCTCAAAGTTCTAGTAAATGGAATTTAATAGAACGTTAAAAGGATGCCTTACCACAACCAGGAGATTTACCTCTGGGATGAGAAGAAGGTTCAACATATGCCAAACAGTGTCATATATCACATTAACAGATAGGCACAAATTACATGATCATCTACACACAGAAAGCACTTTCTAAAAAAATCCACATCCATTTATGATTTTTAAGAAGTCTCTTGAAAAGGTAGGAATAAACAGAACATGCTTAACTCAATAAAGACCATGTCTGACAAGCCCGTGGCTAATGTCACATCAGCCATGAATGGTTGAAACCTCTTTAAGATGAGGGACAAGACAAAGAAGGATGCCAGCTATCACCATCTGCAGTCAATACTGTACTGGAAGTCCTTACCAAAGCAATCAGACAAGAGGAAAAATAGTAAATGGTATTGGAAAGTAAAATTGTCTATTTGTAGACAAGCTCTCTTTATAGTTAAAATTCCTAAAGAATCAACAAAATACTTATTCAATTCAGTAAAGCTGCATAATATGAAGTCAACAAATGATCCCATTTACAATAACATTAAATACTTGGGGGAAAATTAATTAAGGAGGTCAAGTCCTCTATTCTGAAAACTGCAAACACTGATGAAACTCAAGCTGATTCAAATAAATGGAAAACTATGTTCAACGATTAGAAGAGTAATGCTAAAACACCAGTATAACCACAGACCGTCTAGAGACGCAATGCAATCCCTACTAAAACTCCACGTTTTTTAGAGTCGAAAAAATAGTCCTGAAACTTAAATGAAACCACAACAGTAAAAAAATCCTGAGATAAAAGAAAGCTAATGGCATCATAATGATTTCAAGCTACGCTACAGTGATGAAAACGACATAGTACTGGCAAAACAAACACACACACACACACACACACACACACACACACACACACACACACAAAGAGTTCAGACAGAAAGCCAAGCATATTTACTTAATACCGAATACAGGTGACAGGAATACTTAACGGTGCTAGATTAGCCACATGTAAGAGAATAGAACTGGACCTTATCTGACTCCACTCTCACACACAAATAATCACCTTGAAATGGATCAAGACAATGACTGGTTAAAGAAACTTTGGTACATCTACACAATGGAGTACTATGTAGCTGTTAGAAAAGATTAAGTCATGAAATTTACATACAAGTGGCACTACATGGAAAGTATCATGCTAAGCGGAAACGAGTCAGAAAGAGAGGAATAGACATAAAAAGATTGCATTCATCTGGGGGACATAAAGTAACAAAATAGGAGATTAATACCCAAGAATAGCCGAGATCAGTACCAGGAGGTTTACCCCATGGCTTAGAGGCCAGCCGGGCATTCTAGGGGAAAGGGCAGCTCAGATAGACAAGGAAGCACCAAATAAAGGGTGTTCGGAGGATCCTCCCAGGATGGGAGATGCATGTTGAAAGTAGACTATGGACCGAACAGGATTGCAACTCAATGCCTCTTTTGCAGACCACAACACCCAAAAGGAGAGAGAGAACAAAAGGGAATGCAGGGTGGGATGGGGGGGATGGGGGTGGGAGGGATACTGGGATCCATGGTGGTAGAGGGTGGGCACTGGTGGAGCGATGGGTATTTGATCACTGTATAATCAAAACCCAAGTGCAAAGATTTGTAAGTCTACAACTGTACCTCATGGTGTTTCACTAATAAAAACTAATAAAAAAAAAAAGAAAAAAAGAAAAAAGAAATGGATCAAGACAGAGAAGACAGAAAACTCCACGATGAGGAATAAATCTTGTTAACACCTGTCTTCAAGATTTCTGGGTGATACCAAAAGCACAAGCAACAACAACAACCACCCTACTGGCTACCTGGAAAGTTTCTGCTCAGCAAAAACAAACAAGCAAAATATAAATACATAAAACAATGTGAAAAGAAAACCAACTGGAAGGGAAAATATTTACAAGCCATCAATCTGGTAAAATTAACATTCAAAACCCAAAGAACTCATACAATTCATTGAGGAATAAGACAGTAATAATTAGGAAAAGGATGTGAATACGTTTCTCGATAAACAAAGGACAAGTACATAAAGAGAAGCTCAACATCACTCCCCATCAGGGAAATGCCTATTACTGGGCCTGAGAGATGACACAAAGGACTAGTTCACATGTTTTGCACACCGAAGCTCCAGGTTTGATCTCCAGCACCTCATTATCCCCGAAGTACTGCTTGGAGTGATCCCTGAGTCAGAAAGAAGCCAGCACTGATAGGTATGGCCCCCAAACTAAAAAAAGTGTCCCCCCGCCTCCCAAATAAAGTCACCAGGAAAATAGGTGGTTGGCAGGAAGTAGAAAGGAAACCTGAGATACCATTGGCAGGAGGGAAACCCTGGACGGTCACTATGGACACCAGTATGAAGCCTCCCCACACCTCACACAGGGAAGGAACTGCGCTTTGACCCAGCACTTCCTACAGGAAACAAAACCACCAACTCCAAAGTCTCAGCCTCCTGTTCAGTGCAGCACCCTATACAGAGAGACTTGGAGCAGCCTCAGTGTCTGCGGGTGGAACCGAGAAAGCAGTGGAGGCACCTACAGGCTCGGGAATGGAAGCCAACAGGGAATCCTGCCACTTGCCATCTGGGACTCACTGGGACCCTGAAGGCATTGTGCTGAGTAAGTGGACAGGTGAGATGACAAGACAATCCAGACCACCTCACATATTTGGGGATCTAAATTCATGAAAAAGAAACCAGACTTCAGGTCAGCAGAAGGGATTGGGGGCCCAGAAGAAGGTGGTCAAAAGAAAGGTGGTACCAGGTAGTACCAGAAAAGTAACAGGATAAATAAGGAATTGGCTTTCAAGGTATAACCTGATTGCTACAGCTAATGTCACTGTAAAGTTAACTGTAAATGACAGCAAAGTTAACTGAGCAGGACCAATGCTTCAGACATCAGAAAGTAGATGCCTCCATGATGCCATTCTTGCAACTGACGGTACCCATGGCAGGATTCCGGCAAGCTACCATGCCTTGAGGCTGTCTGAATCTATTACACTTGAATATCAATCAAGAAATGTTGGAGTCCAGCCAGGAATAGTCCCTTCAGAAACTGAGTAGCCTGAGGACTACAAAGCTACAATTTGGAATCTTTCTCAAAGCAATGCCAAGAGTCAAAAGTATAGGTTCCAACAAGCACTGACAGGGGAAGAGCAGAACCTCACCACGATGGGTGTTGCTGAAATACTGATGACCTGGTGCAGAATCTTGGGACTTTCCTCCATTAACCTATGAGCAGTTCAGAACTCTGAGGATACAAGTATCAATTAGCATCTACTCTTTAAAGAAATATGTGGTTGTCTCCAGAAGAATGAAGGGATCAAGGCTGTGGGTCCATGGTGGAGTACTTGCCTTTCATGTGCAAGGCCTACTTTCAAACACCACGCACTGCCAGAGGGATAGCGCAAGGGTCTAGAAAGTGTATGCTCTGAAGACAGGAGAGTCATGACCCACCAGGCATGGCCGAAACAAAGTCAATCCTGGGTCGGAGTGATAATACAGGAGATAGGGCACTTGCCCTACACATGGCCAACCAACACGCAGTCCCCAGCACCGAATACAGTGCCCTGAGCACTACCAAGAACGATCTGTGAGGACACAGGATTAAGACCCTAACACTTCCAGGTGAGGTTCCGAAACAAAATAAAAACAAAAAAGTCAATCTTGAGAATTCTCATCACAGGAAGAACAATTTTTTGCATTTATGGGAGAAAATAGATGCTAGATTATGGTGATTTCACAATATATTAAATCAGACCATCATACAGAAGAGATGTGTCAATAATTTCTCGTGTTCAACAAAGATTTCCTTTCTCGTGGGATGATCCGCCTCCTCCCACCCCACCTCTTCCCCATACACCCACACAAACGCACGCACACACACGTCACCTCCCCAATCCTTGGTATTTCTGATTGTCACACTGAGAAGGGGAGGGGTCGAGGTACACCTGAACTGGAACAGGCATAAGTGAGGGATGCAGAGATGCTGTCCCACTCCTCCCAGGGACAAGAAGTCATCTCAGAAAGGAGTCACCAAGCTGCTTGCAAGTGCCAAATAAAGCCAACCCCTTTTTATAGACTAGAGAAAAGTGAGTTCTGCCACAGCAGTGCACACTGTCCCTCACCAGCACCTCCACACCTGGCCTCAGCACAAGCCAAGCACTGCACCACCAAGTTCCCTACACTCCCCTTGGCACCCTGGCGGACATCAGTGCAGTTACACATCTCTAGGCAGAATACAACAGGTTGGGGCCTTGCACAGGACTGGCCCAGAATGGATCCCTGGCACCCCATATGATCACACGAGCCCCTCCAGGAGAGATCCCCGAGTACAGAGCCAGGAATAAGTTCTGAGCACCACCAACTGTGCCCAGAGACAGCAACAAAAAAGAATCTCTAAGCCACCTCTATCTTGTGATCCTAGTAATTAATTAGCCCTTTGGGGTGATGCAAATTCACTTTTTACAATGACAACATTTCTTAGAAAATATATGTGGCATCTATTTCAACCCTATGACTCATTCTAACATTTAACTGTTGAAATAATTAAACAATCCTATTTGCAGTGTTATAACAAATTTAATTCAAAATAGACACTCTGAAAACAATAGGTAAAAAAAAAATAAAACTTCAACAAGCTCTTTTTTTACAACAGAGTACACCAACATCACTGAACAGTTTCACAACTGCTTCGAAAATGCACAGGAGAGCAATGACATGCAAATAGGATCTTTTTAAAACTCTGACAGTAACATTCCATTTCCCAGAGCCTGTCACATCATTTGGTGTGTCAAGACAGGTGCCTCTGCTTGTACCACAACTCCAGGACTAATGGTCTATACTGGAAGGTCCCTAACAGATTCAGATCTTTAAGTCCTTTTATATTGTGTGGAAAAAACAAGCTTTAACTAACCAAGGGACAGGGATATGGCAGAGGTTTTTGCAACGTCCTGTCCACTTAATGCTGAAAACTGGGCTATACAAATTCTCATCTCCTCAAAAAAAAACACATTATGTGTAGGAAACTTTGCCAAAGATTTAACACAAATGTGGAGACTTTGCTCTGGGTCTCTTTTCTTCACCCTGTCCCCTGCAAACTTAGGTTCAAACTTCAGTTAGCATCTAGACTCAGGGATAAAATTTTGTTCCTGAGTAATATGGTCCTTTTCTTTCACCTAGTTTATGAGCAGTTAGGTTAGGAGATTTTGTGTCTTTTCAGTGTTTATTCTGAAGGCACTAAAAGATGTAATTTCCTTCCTTTGAATGAATAAATGACCATATCAAAAAGTGGGGAGCATGTATGCTGAAATGTTATTTTTGCAGCTATGGAAATACTTTTATTTGCAAAATAACTTGATTTATGAAGTTTCAGGTTCAGATTATTTTTAACAAACGAAACACCTGGCTTTCTGAGTTATAATCAATAATAACCAGGGGGGAAAGGAAAATTATAAACTAATAAGCAAATATCTCGTATCAGCATAAGTTAATGAGTGCGCCCTTAAGGGACCAGATACATAATGGAGTTTGTACTCACATCTCTAAACATTACTGTATGTTATCAGCTGCTACATATGAAGCTAACTGAGAGAGATCAATGCTTTACTCCTCAAGTATTCTGACACAAGCTGAAATTTCCTTAAAATGAAAGAAAAAGTAGGTTTCAGTTTTTTAATCGTACAATACTGACACTACTGGGAAAACAAGGCGTGCATAAAATATCAAAAGATTTAATTTACACAACAGAAAAAAAACTAAAAATTGTTACAAAATCAAACTGCATAAAACAATAAATTTGAAGGAACTAGTCACTTCTCATACAGAAGTCTTTCTGAGCACCTGAAATAAATCTAAAGAGCAGCATAAAGACCACTGAAATTGATTAGTTCAACATACAGTGAAGAAAATAACATTTTTAAAATCTCAATTGAAAATAACTAAATTATCTAGACTTTAGAGTTCCTAATTTCTTTTCATGAGTTCTGCGGTTCATACTCAAATTTCAATCTGTGTTTGACATTTTTCAGTTCAGACATATCAAAGCCCAACAGTACAGAAGGCTTCTGATTTTTTATTGCTTTCATGCAAATATATCTTCTTTTTCCAAAAAAGGAAGCCACGTCGATTTTCCACACCCACAAGAGTGAGGATAGTAGTTCTATTTCCTTTTTACTTGGGTATGGTCTCTTGTGGAAATAATCTCTAAGAAACTGCTTTTTATCTTCGTAAGTACGGTCTTCATACTTCTTAGGGTTTAATGCTAGAATCTGAAGAGGGTCGTCACCGCCGAGGGAACCCTCTGTCCTGCTCTCGTTCCTCTGCCTCTTACAAGGCACTGCACCCCCCAGCTTCTCCAGCACAGGAAAGGCCTCGGTGTTCACGGAGAGAGGTCGCTCCTCCCCAGATGCCTGGCCATCGGGTAGCTTTCTCTTCGCGGACAGGCTGGGGTCCTGGACCACTTCACCGTTGACTAAAAGCAGCTCACTGTTGTCAATGAAGCTGGGCTGAATCTGTAGGTCTGAGCTGCTATCCTTCGGGGCGCTCCTGCAGCGCACCAGGTGTATGGCAATGGCGGCCAAGGTCATGTTGCCAGTGTAGACTCCACAGCAGTGGATGCACTTGAAAGCTGGAGACTTCAAAATTGTGTGGACTGTGGGGGTGATATGGTGCCTCTCCTTCAAATGTAGCTCATAGGCCTCCGAGGTCACAAAGGTGCCAAAACAAAATGGGCAGGTCAGCGCTTGCTTGCTGGGGACCCCAGACGCACCCTCAGCCTGGGGCCTTACTTTAATATACACAGGCACAAGTGACTTGGAGTGGATCCCAGCCAACACTGCCAAGTATACTTCCCGGTCCCCCAGAGCTTCCTTGGGCAATATGGTGATGAAGTCGAGATGGGGAAACAGCAGGTTGCCATTGGCATCGATGTCCAACTGAAACCCTTTATTACTATAATTCACAGGCAACTTCTTCTTCCCCAAGTGCATAGTCCGACTATGCTCAGAAAGACCTTTAATATCATGGAAAGTGCAGGGACAGAACAAGCACCCCAGGCCGTGCATCAGCAGGTGATGGATCAGCTCTTCCTCAGACACCAAGCATTTACAAGACAGACAGCGAACAGTCTTCTCTCTCATCCACTTCAGGAAGGGGGCGCATGCTGCCAACTTCTCAGGCTCCAGCTTCTCGGCACATTTGGATTCACTGTGCTTATGAGCCACCTCCATGTGGACCTGGTAGACATTGGAAGGGAAGAGTTCATTGCAAACAGGGCACGTTTTCCATTGCTTTGCCTGTTTGAGCACCTGATTTGCCTCTGTCACAGAGGAAGAGGTCTGCGGGAAGAGATTCTGGGTGGCATTCACCACCAGAGGAGAAGGCATGCCCACCACTGGACTGGCCATCTGGGCAGTTGCACCAGAGTGCAGGAGCTGGATGGGCATCTGGGGAGGAGCAACAGTCGCAACACCTCCAGCTGGCACAGGCAGTGTGACAGACACCGGGGCCAGTGTGTAGGTGGGAATGCCATTCACCTGCTTCCCAGTCGGTATCAGCTGTCTGAGGATAGAGCCTGACGTGAGGAAAGTGGTGTTCTGTGAAGCACCAGGCCGCACTGGCTGATTTGCGGGCAGAATGTTGGTATTCACAGACTGACTGAGTTGCAGGACTCCAGGTCTCACCGGCTGGCCCACAGGAAGAACTCCTGATACAACAGGCTGACTAAGCTGAAGAACTCCAGAAGTCAGACCCTGGTTCACAGGAAGAACACCTGACGACACTGCCTGGTTGGGAGGAAGGAGTCCAGACGGTACCACCTGGCCAGGGGGGAGGACCCTCAGTGGAACTGTCTGGCCAGGGGGGAGTACTCGTGTTGGGACAGTCAGCCCGCCGGGGAGAACCCCTGAAGGGGCAGTCTGGCCAATGGGCAGAACCCCTGACTGAACCATCTGGCCAGCAGGGAGAACCCCAGAAGTTGCTGTCTGTCCTGAGGGGATAACCCCAGCAGGAGTCATCTGACCTGTAGGAAGGACCCCAGATGGGACAGTCCGGCTCACTGAAATCACCCCTGGAGAGACTGCCTGAAGAACCCCAGGGGTGACGGAGGGGCTGACAGGAAGGACACGAGACCCAACCGGTCTGTTTACTGAGAGAACTCCAGGACCCACAGGCTGGTTGAGGGGTAAATTCCCTGGGCGAATGGTCTGATTTATGGGGAGGACACCAGGGCCAACAGACTTATTTACTGGGCCAACTGGCTGATTCAAGGGCAACACAGGCGGATTTGCTGATGGATTCAGTGGGACTCCATGAGAGAGAAAGACTGGCTGAGGAGCAGAAGGCTGCAGAGTGAGGCTGCTCTGGCCCACTGGCAGAGGATTGGAGACCAGAGTGACCCGGGGCGGGGCAATGGCAGGCGGAGAGTGCGTGAGGCTTCCAGAGGCACCAGAGGCCACAGTCACTGGCTGAACTGAGCCCTGAACGGGTTGCACCACAGTCTGGTTTTGAGTATTCTGTGGCACCGCAAGATGAAAGCAAGGAGATGTGGCCGGCAGGCCCGGGGCACTGCTGTTGGCAGAGACGGCTGAATGTGCAGCTGGTTTTGGAGCAATGTTCATTTGCTTCAAAATTCCAGTCTTCTTAATATGTTCTGAAATCACAGACCTAAGCTTGTTCTCCAAATCCCTGTGTATATCTGATGTCAAAATATGATACATCAAAGCATCCTGGCTGCTGGCACTGGCATTACATTTTTTACAGTAATACTTGTCAGACGGTGGTTGCTTCTCGGTGGAACAGGAATCTTCAGGTTTTGGCTGCTCAGCCATCTCCTCAGTTCGCAGGCCAAAGTAGGAGTTAATTAAGTAATGAAAATGGGCTACGAGCACATGCTTCTTCATACTATAGTACAAAGTATTGGAGAAGTTACATTTTAAACATGTAAAACTTATAACATCACTCCTCGATGACTTAGTTTCACCTAAAATATTCACTGTGTAGTTCTGGACCTTCCGAATAGGTGCATGGAACATTCTAAAGTGCTTTCCCACAACTTTGGGTTGAGAGGAAAATACACAGTTTGGGCAAGGAATCACCAGCTCCTGGTCAATTTCATCTTCATGGTATCGATGCAAATGATTTTTGAATGAAGTAAGCACTTTTGTAGAGTATTTACAGAGGCTGCAACAGTATGGCTTTGTTCGGTATCTCTGTTAAAAGAAAGTGAAGCACAGTTTAATGAAAGAATCTGATGGTACGCCTTCTATATCCACAAGCATATGACTCGTTTTCTTCTAACGTGCTCTATAATCTGACATGTCACTCCTCTGGTAAGAGTGTTTTTTCTAAGCCAAAATAAGTGTTTTCTAAGACAGAAGAATATAGATAATTTAGACTCACTGGGTAGCAATAACACAGCCTCCAGGGCAACTGCTCAGCGTGCCCACAAAAGCACACAAAGGTAAGATATGAGTCTTTGGGCACAGCCTTGTCAAAAAGAACTTGATTTACAGACACTGATTAAAATTTTCTATAATTTTCAAATCATAAAACAGTACTATTCAGGGTCAGTGATAGTATAGTAAGTAGGGTGTTTGCCTTGCATGTGGCCAAGTCAAGTTTAATCAAATCCCAGGCACTAAATATGGTCCCTCAAGCCTGCCAGGAGTGATACCTGAGCACAGAGCCAGCAATTCCTGAGCTCGGAGCACCATCAGGTTGACCCCCACAAAAAAAAAAAAAAAAAAAAACTTCAATTTTTTTCTTCCTTCAAAACATTTAAAAATATACCACAGGGTCCAGAGACAAAGTATAGCAGGTAAACTGTGCACAGCCAATCTGTGCTCTATCCAGGTACTATTCCAGGCACCACATAAGGTCCCATGAGCACCACCAGACATGATCCTTGAGCACAAAGCCAGGAATAAACCCTGAGCATAACTGGGTGTGTCACCCTCACTATAAAAGAAATCTCACTACAGTATAACCTGAAGTTCAGAATTTTATACTATGTGGTGGAGTAAATAAGGTACTCAGTCAAATACTGGCATCCTAACCCTTCTTCCCTACACTTAACAAGACTAGAATGGGAGACAAGAGACCCTATGGTATATATAGGGGGTGAAGTCACTCCAAGGCACTATCTTGGTGACCTGTCTCAACCTTGCTGACAAGGACAGGAGTCACTATACTGGGTCTCTCTTTCCACAGTAACAGATCTGGAGGGCAAATCCTCAAAAGCTCCATGCACCCCTGGGAAAGTGTGGAGTTAGCTAGGGGCAGAAACAGGATTGTTTTATCAGGACTGCTAATGCCTATCAGACAGACACATCCAGCCCCTGCCAGTCAGTATCTGATGCCAGCAAGCAAGCAGTCCCATTATAGGTAGAAATCACCCCACAGACATCCCAAGGTGTGGATCGTTACCAAAGGTGGCCTAAAGCATAGCCAAGTGTGGCCCAAACAAACAAAATAACAATAAATTATCATTTTATATGAAAGTTTTAATATCAATGCATAAAAACAAAAGTTGGTATTTTACTGATCAGAGAGTTTATCATATACTGCTATTCATTAAACAATTTTATCAACTGCCTTTTCATCATCTAGCCAGATATTCATTGTTTAATGCCAATTTAAAAAAATTCTGACAGTCAATAACACATTGTAAAAAATGTAACCAAGGGCCAGAGTGACAGTACAGTGGAGAGGGTGTTTGCTTTACACATGGCCAACCAGGTTTAATTCCCAGCACTCCATATGGTCCCCTGTACAGAGCCAAGAGAGATTCCTGAGCGCAGAGCCAGGAGTGAGAAGCCCTGAGTGTCATCAGGTGTGACCAAAAACAAAAACAAAAAAATTAAAGATAAAAATGTATCCAGATGGGGCTGGAGCAATAGCACAGCGGGTAGGGCGTTTGCCTTGCACACGGCCGACCCGGGTTCGATTCCCAGCATCCCTGAGCACCCCCAGGAGTAATTCCTGAGCGCAGAGCCAGGAGTGACCCCTGTGCATTGCCGGGTGTGACCCAAAAAGGCAAAAAAAAATGTATACAGATACCAAATAAGTAAAGGAAAAGATGCTCAACACCATTAGGACATAGCATCATTATGAAAGTACAAATCAAAGATGCTGTCACACCCTTAGCAAGATGATAAAAATGAACTCAGTATAAATGGATTGGCATGGAGAATATCATGCTGAGGAAAATGAGTCAGAGGGGGAGGGACAGACATAACATGACTGGACTCATCTGCAGGGAAAAAAAAAAACATAGTATGAGACTAATACTCAAGGACAGCAGAAACAAGGCCCGGGAGAACTGGTCCACAGTTGGAAGCCTCTCACATGTGGTGAGGCTGGAGGGCAGTTAGGACAGTTAGGATAGAGAAGGAATCACTATGACAAAGATAGCTGGAAATGATCACTCTGACCAAGAATTGAGTGTTGAAAGTAAAGGGACAAACATAACCTTTCAGTACCTGTACTGCAAGCCATAATACCCAAAGGAGAGAGAAAGAGAGCAAGAGAGAGAGAAAGAAGAAAATGCCTGCCATAGACAGGCTGGGGCCAGAGGTGGTAAGGGTAGGGGACAGGGGCGGAGGACAGGGGCAGAGCAGGGTGGTGGGGAGGGAAACTGGGGCACTGGTGGTGGGAAATGTACACTGAAGGGATGGGTATTGAACACTGTATGACTGAACCCTAATCATGAACAACTTTGTAACTATGTAATCCACAGTGACTCCATAAAAAAAATAAATAAAAATAAATGCAAAAAAAATAAAATGAGGACCTCAGGTCAAATCATTGAGACAAAAGCATAGCATGCAGCCATGGTGGAAATCAGCCGCAGTTTGTGAGGAAAAGACTTGTCACTGACAATGCAGAAATTCCACCCCAATATCCAAGAGAAATGAGTGCATGGGCTCCCACGAAGCCTGTACTTCCCTGTATCAGGACAGTGGCCAATTAGAAACAGCCCAAGTCTGCCACCTGAGGTGAGAGGAAGAAAACCACTATGGAGAGCAGCAGGAAAGGTGTGGTGCCTTCAGGAGCTCTGGGTGCAGGGAGAGCGCCTGCCCTGGAACAGCCTGCCTTCTCCCAGCCTTCTCCCGTGGTCTGCAGCTGCTTCCTGAATCCCACAGTGGCTAAGCCCCCCACAGGAGACAAGTCTCTAACAATCTCTTTTCTTAGTCACTAAAGGTCTCACACACTATGAGCCACAAAATGGAAATGACATTGCAACAGTGTCTAGTCATAAACCCTTTTCCTCAGAGACATATGAAAGCAGGAGGACTTCCTTCAGAATGAAAAGCAAAATACTGAAACAAGCAAACAACTTAGCCTCCAGACCACCAAGTAACAATGGGGTTTCTTCTGGATATGGTTTCTACTGTCTCAGATTAACACTATGTCTTTCTGTTCATTAAACACTTCAACTTCTTCAGGAAAAGAACCCTAACTCTTGCCTCAGGCACTCACAAGTGTTTGGCCTGCTCTGTAGCAGATATTCAATGTTTCTTGATTATATATGTGACATGATAGGTTATTTTACAAATTCAAAGATGTGCCAAGTCTTCAAAAATAAATAAATAAAAGGTTGTTAACTTAAAGTCTTCAAAGTATGGCATAAAAATACTGGAGCTTTTACAAGAATAAGCAAATCAAAGCAGTTTCAAGGGATCCTGTGTCTGGCAGTGAAGAGGGAACAGTAGATCAAGGAAAACAAATAACCAAAAGGTGAAACAAAGGCAGGAAAGTGGAGCTCAAGAAGACTGACAATAAAAGTGTTTTTAAAGGAAATGTCTACCGTGACTGGCTAGTTAATGAATTTTAAGCAGATTCAAGTTCCCAAGTCCAACAGAACTTAAAGACCCTACAGTGGAGGCAAATCAGTGGAATCTCTGACATGCTGAGTGAGTGTTGATCAAAGCACCAACTGGAAGACTGGGTGGTGGGAAAGACTTTCCAGAAGAAAACACTTTAATAAGGAAAACAGCAGCATGACACACATTTTAGCCTGAACCTGCTTATATTTGAGGCTTTAAATTATTGTAAATTTGTTTCCTGATTCAAAGATCCACATTTTAGTTTCTAAAACTAGTGTGTACCTAACAGTGCAGCCTTTCTTTTTACTTAGAACATCACAAATCAAACACCCATATTTCATAAGCAGTATCTTATAATCAAGGACAAGAAACAGTTTCACTTCATCAACCTAACTACAAAAACTCAAAATGTCAATAACAACGTATTAAAAAATTTTACACTGCTCTTTCTTTACCAATGAATATGCATACTACACCTTCATACCACTCCATTCATTCATCTCAACCATAAACATGTGCTAGTTCTAATACTTACCACCTACTTTTATTTTAAGCAAGAATGAAATTCAAGCACAAAAATACATACCACTTTCTTTGCAGAAGGTTCCCAGAGAGAAATATCGCCCCATGATGTGTTATAGAAATACGTCTCTCCTGGATCAAAGCCCTTAAGGTCCTTTTAAAAAGGAAAAAAAATAAATAAAAGAGATTACGCAATCTAAAAATATAGAGAAATATTTCATTAGAATCCAACAGGATTACTTGCCACCTACATGAAGCTTTCCAAAAGGTAAATAAAAATGTGGCCCATTCGGGCCAGAACAATAGTGCAGCAGGTAGTGCTTGCCTTGCATGCAGCTGACCCAGGATTAAATCCCCAGCACCACATATGGCTCACTGAGCCCTGCCCGGAGTGACCTCTCAATACCACCAGTGTGGCCCAAAAATAACCAAAACATGGCCCATCAAAGCACTGTGACCAAGTGCATATTCAACACACAAACTGAGGAAAATGTTGAATGAACCAGTTACAATCACAATTTTACAGGAACTAAACAGATGAGATTTCCCAACAACTTCTAAAAAGAGAGAAATTACATGAGTGGTGAAAACTACTGAAAGAATTTCAGAGTGGAGGGAGTTTGAAGGGGGTTCCAAAGGTGGTGCTTGACCAGGAAGCCTTAGAGGAGACACCTGGGACGGGGACGGTGTGAGCATGAGGTTGAGGCTGCCACAACAAAGGTTAAAAAAAAGGTACAGACACAATCTGGCAACCAAGTCAAAGAAGTCCAGATGGAACCCCGACGCAGACAAGCCAGGAAACTGGGAATGAAAAACACTTGAGGGAATGGAAAAGACCTAGATATGGACTGTGTATTAGATAAGAGGAATATTTAATGATACCGAAAGATGAAAATAACTGAAAAAAGTGAAAAGGCATGACCAGGAGCTCACTGTGACAACACACACACACATATTTAAACATACACAAAAGCTAAACCATCGGATTTTGAGTGGTTACTATCTCTAAAGGGTAAATACGTGACATTTCGTATTTGCCAAAGAAATGATTAGCTGGGTCCTAGGAGAATCCAATGTTGTGCAAACATCAGGCCAAACATAGAGCAAACCCCTACGGTTGCCCAGGATCACAACTGGTGCTCAGGTCCCCAGGTGCTGTCACAAGTGCAAGCTCTCCAGCCTACCAGTCAGGGATGTGCAAGCACTTTTTAAATAAGAGTGTACGGCCCCCAACAAGCACAACTAGTGTGGACAACACCCAGACATCACAACAGAAAAGGTAATTAGGGGTGGGGAAGGAGAAGGAAACCTATATCTTGCAACTTTCAGTTTATATTATTATTTGTTTGGGGCTGGGTTTGTTTCGTTTTTGTTTTTTGCAGGGTGGGTGTGCAGAGCCACACCCAGCCGTGATCAGAACTTACCACTCTGTGTTCAGGGATCACTCTTGGTAGGCTCAGGAGAGACCATCTGAGTTGCCAGGGATTGAACCCAGATTGGCCACATGCAAGGCAAGTGCCCTGCCTGTTAACATATCACTCCAACCCCAGTTTATTACTGTTTTTATAATGAAGGTTTGAGAGCTTTTTCCCTTTGGGGTAGTAGCTGAGATGGTGAAAAGGTGGTACCCTTGCTTTGCAAGCTTGCTGGGGTTGACACTTGGTTGTGATGCACTGAAATCCCACTGTTAGATTGCAGTGATCAAGAACAGCAACACCATCAGCAGGACAGCACCCAGCTTGTGGTTCAGACTCACGGTCTCATGCTATCCCCAGCAAGGGCATATAGTCCAGCCACTGAGCTAGACTTGCGCCCCTTAAAGATTATCTCTAACATGAAGAACATTCATTAGGGCTGCAGAGTGAGTACAAATTAAGATGATGTACATAGCCTACCCCAGATAGATCCCCGGCACTGCATAGGATCCCCTGAGTACCACTAAGCATAGAGCCAGAACTAAGCCCTGCCAAGTGTGGCCCCAAGACAAAAAACTATCAATTTATTAGGAACTTAGTATTATGTACATTCCTCCTGATGGGGAAATTCCTCTTCTGCCCTTCAACAGAACTGTGTGTAGTGTGTGTGTGTGTGTGTGTGTGTGTGCATATGTGTGTGTGCGCACGCGTGCGCACGCACGCGACACCACACCTGGAGTGCACAGAGCTTACTCCTGGTTCTGCACTCCTGGCAGGGCACAGGGGACCATAAGTGGTGTCAGGGATAGAACATGGGTCAGGTACATGCAAGGCAAGCAGTTGTAGTACTGCTCCAGTCCCAAACTTTTATGTTTCTTTAAAAGAAAATTAGCGCAAAGAATAATGGCTAATATAGTAACAATCTTCATGTAGACCAAGGTTAATAGGCTGCTTAACAAGTCAACTCAGAACTAGAGAAAAGTCCAAATTATCACAAGGACTGAAGCTTTAAAAAATGTATGGTGAGACTCATAAAATATGCTGAAATAAAATGCTTAATAACAGTATCACAAGGGCTGGAAAGAGAAATGAATATATACCATTGAAATATTCTTATTCTATTATGTGAAGGCATTTCATAGAAGATATTCAAATAAATGGAGCTTTTAGCCAAAGAACACCTTTTAAATATATTCACATGAAAAGTAAAAAAAAAAAAAAGATTTGAAAGGAGTAACAGATGAGACAAGTTTCTAGAAGAGAAAAAAAAAGAAACAAACAGTTAAGGCGGGAGATTTAAACCTAACCATATCCTAATCACATGAAACTAAGTTGGTTGGTACCATTTTCCTAGAAAGGGTCAGACAGAAACAGTGCAGGCCTTCATGGTCATGCAATCTTAACAAACTACTAACTGCCACCACTATGCAAAAAGACAGCCTTGAACAACAGGCACACACTAAGGAGAGCATAACTGTGTCCTCAGAAAGGTTACATATGGAAGTTTACATATAAAACCAAATGACAAGCTGAATTTGGTCCACAGGCCATGGCTTGCTACTCACTGGCCTAATTACTCCAACTATATGGCAGACTGTCAGACTAGGTCACACAGCAGTATCTGGCTCCAGAAACAGTAAAGGGCAAGAGGCTGACCTTGTTTCCATTCCTTGCCCCACACTGTCCCACTGGCACCTCAGAAGTGATCCCCACGCACAGAGCTGCTGCGAATGGCCCTGACCTCCCCCCAAAACAGGAACACACGAGGGTAAGGTAAACAGCTCATAGGGAGGGCACGTTTTGCAGACAGGAACTCAAGGTTTGAACCCTAGCAGCTCTTGGTGTCCCAAGGAAAGACCAGAATACTGTCAAACATGGTCCCTCTGAGCCCCACCCCCACCCCCAACCTCAACTGCCTATACTATGTGTACAAAATTTTGCTTTTACTAGAACCAACAGGGGCTGGAGCGATAGCACAGCGGGTAGGGCATTTGCCTTGCACGCGGCGGACCCGGGTTCGATTCCCAGCATCCCATATGGTCTCCTGAGCACCGCCAGGGGTAATTCCTGAGCGCAGAGCCAGGAGTAGCCCCTGTGCACAACAGGGGCTGGAGTGATAGCACAGCGGGTAGGGCGTTTGCCTTGCACACGGTTGTCCCAGGTTCGATTCCCAGCATCCCATAGGGTCCCCTGAGCACCGCCAGGGGTAATTCCTGAGCGCAGAGGCAGGAGTAGCCCCTGTGCACAACAGGGGCTGGAGTGATAGCACAGCGGGTAGGGCATTTGCCTTGCACGCGGCAGACCCGGGTTCGATTCCCAGCATCCCATATGGTCTCCTGAGCACCGCCAGGAGTAATTCCTGAGCGCAGAGCCAGGAATAGCCCCTGTGCACAACAGGGGCTGGAGTGATAGCACAGCGGGTAGGGCGTTTGCCTTGCACACGGTCGACCCAGGTTCGATTCCCAGCATCCCATATGGTCCCCTGAGCACCGCCAGGGGTAATTCCTGAGCGCAGAGGCAGGAGTAGCCCCTGTGCACAACAGGGGCTGGAGTGATAGCACAGCGGGTAGGGCATTTGCCTTGCACGCGGCAGACCCGGGTTCGATTCCCAGCATCCCATATGGTCTCCTGAGCACCGCCAGGAGTAATTCCTGAGCGCAGAGCCAGGAATAGCCCCTGTGCACAACAGGGGCTGGAGTGATAGCACAGCGGGTAGGGCGTTTGCCTTGCACACGGTCGACCCAGGTTCGATTCCCAGCATCCCATATGGTCCCCTGAGCACCGCCAGGGGTAATTCCTGAGCGCAGAGGCAGGAGTAGCCCCTGTGCACAACAGGGGCTGGAGTGATAGCACAGCGGGTAGGGCATTTGCCTTGCACGCGGCAGACCCGGGTTCGATTCCCAGCATCCCATATGGTCTCCTGAGCACCGCCAGGAGTAATTCCTGAGCGCAGAGCCAGGAGTAGTCCCTGTGCATCGCCAGGTGTGACCCAAAAAGAAAAAAAAAAAAAAAGAACCAACAGGGGCTGGAGTGATAGCACAGCGGTAGGGCGTTTGCCTTGCACACGGTCGACCCAGGTTCGATTCCCAGCATCCCATATGGTCCCCTGAGCCCCACCAGGAGTAATTCCTGAGTGCAGAGTCAGGAGTAACCCCTGTGCATCGCTGGGTGTGACCCAAAAAGCAAAAAATAAATAAATGGACGCAACATATACCTGCAGCTCAATCACACACATCTTTGTAACTTTGTAATTCACAGTGATCAATAAAAATACATTTAAATAAATAAATAGACAAAAGAGCCAGGAATGTACTCAGTTGCAGAGCAATTGTCTTGCATGTGCGAAGCCGAGTCTGATTCCTGGCAGGAAAAATAAAAAATAAAATTAAGTAAGGGCCAGAGTTATAGTACAGCGGGCAGGGTGCTTGACTTCCAAGCTGCTGACCAGGTTCAATCCCCAGTACCTCATGTGGTTCCCAAGTATGCCACAAGTGATCCCATAGCCAGGTGTGACCCAAAAACAAAAAATAAAAATAAAGTAATTATGTCCAAAGACAGATAAAAAGGTAAAAAGATGAAAAAAGATATACAACACTACCACTAATCAAAATAAAGCAAACCAGTTATAATATCAAGAAAAGCAAACTGCTGAAGGCTATCAACACAAAAACTATTTCATAATAATAACAGGGTCATCTCATTAGCAGGACAGCACATTTCTAAGTGTATCTACTCTTCA